GAAAGCCTGTACATAGTTAATGTGCTTCTTCGGTACACCCTTCAATTACAGACACAGCCATAAAACCTGTAGACCAACAGAGTCGAATGTTATCTTTGGGTTAATAAAACTATAGTCGGATGTCGAAAAGTATGTCTGTGTTCCAGAAACTGGCGAATCGTTAATATTTGGTTGATGCATCGACGCTCAGGTCTAAAACCAGACTGGTTTTCCCGGGTTAGTCCTTCTCGATACCTAGTTAATCGTTGAGTGATTAATTAAGTTAACATTTTAGATACTATATCAGTTAAGCTGATTTCTATGTGAATGTCACAATAAGAGTTTTGTCTTATTTTTTAAACTAAGACCATCAACGATCCAGACCAATTAGAAGTGATTATGTCCAGTTCCTAAATCTTTGCTAATATCTCAGTCGAACTAACCTCGAAAACTGAGCCACATCTTCTAATGTCATTAGGATTAATCTCTCTAGACTTGCTGTTTTCCTTCGCTATAGATCACCTATAATCTTTTCAAGAGTTAAAGGATTTGTGCCAATTGGCCATACAGATTATTTGGAGATAGTAGGTAATTGAAAAGTTTCTGAAGGCCAGTTGAACTGTCTGCTAAAGTATTCTGCCCACCGGTCCAATAGCCTAGATTGAGAGTCGACACTAGTTCCATCGTTTTTCGATTTTTAGTGCAGGTTTCGCTGATAATTCTGAATATTTGTATACTGATGTCTATCGCTTCTGCTTTTTCAAATTTGCTTTCGTTACCCACCACTGCTCACGATCATTGTGCAAGCTTGTTCCCGTTCTACGATAAGCCAACTTCGCTCCTCATGGTGTTTAAAACCCGACTATATAAGTTTCCAAGTATTTGTCGGTTCAATATATGGTTCAGAAATCATCACTTTTTGGTTTAATTTACTGTTAGATCTCACTGCTGTTTCCACAGTTGTTTGCTCACACTGAGATAAAGATAAATATCACTTTGACTTCCACTTATCATTTTAATTAATTCATATGAATCACCATCGTATTTTCATTACTACTCTGTTGGTGTGGTTAAAGCAATCAATTTTTAATCAGTAATTTTCTATGTTCGAATCCTACTTACTTACTTTTGTTTAGATAACTAGGTAGGAATGTTACTAATCATCTCATTGTGTAGCTCAAAAATAAGTCCATTAAAATCGTAGCTAGTAAACATATTTCATGTATTCTGTTGTTTTATCATTCAAACTTCTCCCTCCCTTTTCTTCATTCATTAATTTTAGCTTCGATTTCAGGTTTGTTTATTTGAATATTAATTCCTTATTTGGAAAAAAGTTGTCGTTATTATTATTATTCCTTTGTCGTATGTTGTTGTTGTTCTAGTGTTTTTGTATTAAACGCACTCAGCAATTCTATCAGATTTGTTTTTCTTAATAATATCCATCTTCCAAAATATATTTGTTTACTTGTGTAAAGTTTAATCTACCGCTGTTGTTCTTATCATTGTATTCATTTATTTATCTATCTGATTTTGAGAATACGTCTATCAGGGTATATAATCATAAGCATGAACAAGTACTGAATATTGGATTAAGAGTGATAAACTCTTCTTTCATCATTTGTGTATGTTGGGTTTTGGATTTAGAAATTGAGATTATATTTGAAATTAAGAACCTATTTATTGCATATACTTCATTCAATGTAAAATTATCTTGAGTTTACCTGTATTGCTGTCATGTACTTTCACGACTGCTGAATCTTAGAGTGAAACACATGGTTAATAAATTTTGTATATATGTTAATAAAATAAAGCAATCGCGGTGATTGTTCTGTTTAACATAAATCAACGTTCCAGACTAACATTAGTTACAAGTCTCTCGTCTAGACTCTTTCTTCATTCTATTCAGAAGCACCTACCACTATGTTTTAACAAAACTCTATTATGTCATCCATTTTGTAATATTTATTAGACATAGGACATCCAACCTCCGACTTGTCTTTTGTCATCATTTATAAAATCCAGTCAAAGACATTAACAGATATACATCTAAACCAATTTTTTCTTATAGAAGCCTTACCTATCCATAAAGTATAGTCCGCGTTGTTTGTGCAAAAATAACTTGCTTGATATCCCCCTTTCGTTAATATACCGTTAGTTTATTGATTTGTTTTGTTTGATTGCTCAATTTCTTTTCATTGTTTTACTCCTATATCTACAGAAGTAGTTATCATTATTATTGTCGATTGCTAGGTCACCATCCACATATCTTCATTTCAACCTAACGATGCTCCTAATTACTCTGTTCACTCTATTGAATATTTTAATGTTTCATGAATTCCCTCTTTATTTGTTTGTTTAAAAACATGTGGTTTAATTTCACTTAATACCTAATCAAATTCTAACCAACAGAATTATTCGTGGACCTGTAATATGTCACATACATATACGACTGTACACTATTGAAATTTAACTCGCCGAAGAGAACTCTTACGCTGAATAAAGTGTTTTCTAGCTGCATAATCTTTCAAAAACCACAATGCATCAGACAATTATCTTCAAGTTTTTTACGGTCCTTAGTAAAGCATGTCTGCAACACTAAGTGAGCTCGGACTCATGACCTAAAAGTTTTGTAGTCAGCACGTTTCCTTTTAGTTCACTGAGTTGAGATTCGATTTTTCAAACATCAATTCGCATTATTGTACAACGATCAGTCAATACCATCAATTATCTCGGTAGTTATTCCGATAAAACTAGACTTAACCAATATTAGCTATTCTTACTAGAACATCTTGCAATTCTTCTCCAAGCTAATCAAAAGGAAGCATAAAAAGATGCATACATTCTTAATGTATATCTGTAAAATCTGAGCTCCAAGCATTTGTAAGATCGATTTTATTCCTCACATCGTTGCACTGAAGAACCTTTAGCACAACAAAAACAAATCATGAATTTTGATTTTTACATTCATTTTCTTTACAGACTGACGTCGATTGTAGAAGCATTTGAAATTGAGGTGTACTTTAGAGTGCATCTTTTTGAACCTCATATAGGTTCCTATCCACGACATTCAGGTTTCCATTTTTAATCATGTTATTGATCATTTAAGTTGTACTGCCAGATTTCGCACAGAAAAAAAGCTATATGCGTCGTATTTAGTGGATGCATAAATAAATCACACCCCAAGCATATAAATGACTTGACATTTTTTTTATCAAAAGGCGGTTTTGTGATCATTTTAATAATTTTATGTTTGAGTTCATGAGTCGATTAAAGCTAAACCACCATGAAAAACCTGGAAGCACTGGACGGCTTGATCGTGGGTGCGCACTGCTGAGGAGTCTGTTGGGGACGTTAGGTCCCCAGAACTCACTTGGAAAAGGACCTAATTTTGTAATTTTATTCAAAAAATTTGAATATCTTTGTTTTCGCACCAAAAGCGCTCTTGCCACCTTCATGTCGTATTTCCCATTTGGGAAATATCTTAAATGCTATTGGTCCGTTGCGTCTTTTAGTATGCTATTTGGTAACTCTCCCCAAGGACGGTTTTGTTCTGTATACATACGTTTTGACTTGTGTTTGTTATCATCGCTCGTTTCTGGCTGTTTGCAGAATGTATTTCCCCTTTCCAAGCTTGGACTTCTTCCTCTAGTTAGCGGGGCTGGGACGCATCGAATAGCTAGCTTAGTCACCGAGTATTTGTTCTCGTTTGCAGATTAAGTGAACTCGTAATAGCTTCAAACCAAGCAGAGTTCCATACTGGGACGAAACGGCTGTCAAGTTTTTCATGGTGGTCTAGATTTAATTGACTCATGAACTTAACATTTATTGTTGCAAATGATGCTGAAAAGAGTAGTCAAAAGAAAAATTTATTATTTGTAAATTAATTTGCACATTTTACCAGATATTTATTCAACGGTTGTTCCTTGATATTTCGGTGTTTAGGTTTTTTTGATTCATCAATGATTGTCATATCTGACGATAGTCTACATGACGAACTAATCTCAACTAGATAAATATTGAAATGTAGAAAGCATCGATCATCTGCTTCGCACTTTCGGGCATCCTGAACACTGCATGAGCTTGTCAAAAAAAATGAAACCCTATAAGTCCGGTCTCCACGTTGAGCGATTCGATGTCCACCAATCGATATTTCCAATTTCAGTCAGTTCGCCTACACTAGTCTCTCATTTTAATTACGTACTTAAGAAGTAGATTTGTGACCATTTACCTTACATTTCACTATTTCGAATGATGGGATAAGGGAAATGCCTCAACTTGCACAAGATTTGTGGAAATAGTTCAACAAAGGTGACTCGGACTTGTCCTTACTTCAATAAAAGACAACAAGCAGTATTCAATTGTCGTTCAGTTTTCAATTCAGAAGATTGGTTTAATTAGGATCTGTTATTATATGGTCATTGTAACTCACCAGGCTGGTGATTTCATGTCTTGGTTTAAGAAATACTAAATCGGTCATGGTAAGCTCAAGTGATAAACTTTGAACATAATAAAACATGCTAGCTATCGCTTTTTAAATATGTTCCTTTATTGGAGTATTGATGGAAATCCCTTTTCCCACCTTGATATAATAAAAATTTGTAGCGTAGGTGGATAATTTTGGTTCTGTTCTATGATCTGGATAGTCTGGTCGTCTGGCTTTCATTGTTCTTCTGAACAACATCATCGGCAAAAATTTCAGGTAGAAGTGCTGTTCAGGTTTCTCTGCGTATGAATCACAGCTTGTCATACCGACCTTAATCTTGATTGGTTGTTGTTGACCTTTAACCAGTCCGTCTTTATTTTTATTGTATCTCACTTAGGTCTGACTCTTGATCTTGAATAATGATTGAGGGTAATTGGGTTTCTATCGATGAAATTCTTTTTAAGCATGTATATATTGTCAACTTATGTGATGCATATCTAAGTTCCTTACTTCTCGGTTCTTATAGTGCTACTTAGTAATTATTTTCAATTTCTTACTTTTCGCTAAATCAGAACTCATTTTTGTTATGTTTATTTAGTCAACTTTCTTATCCGGCAGAGATAAGAACAATCCGTCGAAACAACCAAACAGACTATTTGATTTAAATCGATATCATGTACGACTGGAAGCTTTGATGCCTCGTGTAAGTAGAATTTTCCAGTGTTTTGCTTACTATTTCTACATTTATGATCATCTAGTAAGATTCCATGTTTATTTCTAAGCATTAACAGTTGAACTTTCTAACTTCTGACATTATGAAATTGTGTAAATGATATACGTACCTACGTGGCTTTATAAAACGTTTACAAGCTGTTCACAAGTTAAGTGGATATATGACCCGAACTTGTTGTAACATTGCACATTTTGTGCTGATAATTTTTCACCGTAAATGCGCACACACTGTCCGTCCAATAAAAGCTCAGAATTTTGTTTCATAGAGTTTAAAATACATTGATTGTATTTCCTTTGAAATATCCTACAGTTGTGGTGGATGTTGGTTTAGTTAGACCCATGACTAATTACCTCAAACCATTTCGTGTATTTATTGAGTAGACCTTTCACCAGTTATAGTCCTCATATTTCTAGTCGATAATCCAATCAGTTCGTAGAACTACCCTTTCTCCTAACCAAACCTAACTCCATGAGATTCCTACTCGTCCCCAATATGTTTGATAATCATTCTGGGTATCACCTGGACGAGTCTTACGTTTGATGATCCTTTTAATAATGCGAACAGTAATGTGGCGGGTGAATTTCTGCAACTTAGGATTTGAAGTAAATACGAAGATCAGTAAACCCTAAATTTTGCAAAACTAAGTGTTATGGCCTTAGTTTGCCCATATGATGGGGAGTCTGTATATAATGTTGAATCTAGCGATTATTATCATTGCTCTTATCAGAAACGTACTTCAAGAAATCTCCATCTTTTAGTAATTTATCAAGTCGTTTACTCGATAGAAAAGATATTTCCTGATTACTGATTTATTCAAATAGGTGATTCATTATAATAGGATATAATTTTAGTCCAAATCATCATAATTTTTTGTCAGTTTAGTCCACAAAACATACACTACTTTCACCATAAATACAGTGTGTCTGTTTAGTGGTATAAAACTATGTGATTTTCAATTATTAAGTTCTCGAGTTCAACATTTGCCCTGATAAAGCTTGTTTTGATCAGTCTACCTGTGTCATTAGTTCCTCATGCAAACAATATCGCTTGAATGCGAATACACGAGCCTTACACACTAGGTTACTCAATCATATCAACCATTTTTATTTAGTAACCATCTTTCAGAATATTATTTATTCTTCACTGTAATATATCTGTACAAGTGTAAATATTAGACAACTTTATCACAGTAAATATTCGACATACAAATACCCCCATTACATCCGAACGAATGAATGAATGGTAACTGTTGGGATCTATTTATGGACTAATACTATACACATATTTTTATTGTATAATTGTTGTGTGGGCGAGAACGATTATGATTGGTTGTCTGCTTAGTCAGACATGTAGACAGTCTGACAGGTGTCAGATAAGTTATATACTCTCTTACCCTTATTATTGTGACACACATACTCTTATATACATCCTATTATTGATTGTTCCTTGTTGTGGATTGTGTCGGCTTTGGGTGTAAGATATATTACGTTCAGGTCAGTCTGATTACGTGTTCTTGATCTGAGTTGTGTTGAAGTCCTGTAGAATAGACACTGGGAGGGATCTAGCGTAGATAATCGTTTAAGCGTTACAACATCAGACAAAGTAATACCGAGCGTTATAACAATTGGCGACGGAGTAAAAAACAACGAACCTAAAGTACAAACCACAAGTTATAGCAATTGCCGACAGTGATTAAAACGGATCTACGTCTACATATTCAGTTAAAGTGTATTTTATAATAAAATGGATGATCTGAAAATCTTATTGCAAAAGCAAAATTCTCTTATCGAATTATTGGTGAAAAAATATGTCAATATCCTCAAGAACCAATGTATCTAATCCCACTATGACTCCGGATTCTATTGCGAACTCAATAGATGAATTTATATTTGATCCAGAATGTGGAATTACTTTTGAAGCATGGTTTAAACGCCATGAGGATTTATTTATTAATGATTGTAAAGAGTGGGACGAAGATTCAAAACTGAGATTATTATTACGAAAGCTTGGAGTGTCTGAACATGAAAAGTTCTGTAATTTTATCCTCCCAAGGAAGCCAACCGATATAACCTTCAGAGAAACAGTTGAGTGCCTGACACGTATATTCGGTGAACGATCATCAGTTTTTCACACTAGATTCCAGTGTTTCCAGCTTGTGAAAAAAACCACAGGACGATTATATGACGTATGCAAGCATCGTGAACCGGGAATGTGAACGGTTTCGTTTACAGGAAATGTCATCAGATCAATTTAAATGTCTTATTTTCGTATGTGGGTTACAATCTACAGCAGATGCAGATATCAGAACACGTATTTTAACGAGAATTGAACAAGATCCTAGTATTAGTCTGCAATTAGTATCTGAAGAATGCCAAAGATTGGTTAGTTTGAAGCATGACACCAATCTAGTAGAAAAGAACAATGAACACATGGAAGTTAAAACCTTGCAGAAAGCTTTTAATGGAAACATGGATCAGTACTCTTACCAAATTCCAAAGCAAACGAAACCCAAAATGTGTTGTTGGCGGTGTGGTAAGCGTCATTCTCATAATGTTTGCTATTTTAAAAAAAGAGTTTGTTTTCGATGTGGTGAATACGGTCATGCTCAAGTATGTTGTAAAAGGAGACAAAAGATTGTCGACCATCAGAGTAAGGCTCGTAAAGGAAATAAGGCGCAGACACCAAAAGAAATCCCACATAATTCGAGTGTCATTCTGACCACAAAAAACTGCTTATTTCTCATCTAAAAGGAAATATGTAACTCTGTTTTTCAATGGTAAACCTATTAAACTGCAAGTTGATACGGGGTCCGACATAACATTAATTTCTAGAAAGACGTGGATAAACCTTGGTCGACCTCGATATCATCCTACATTTTACGACGGTAAGAGTGCAACAGGAACTAGTATTACTCTTCTTGGTGAAATGCAGCTACCTCTCACATTAGGTGACAAGACTATGACTGGGAAATGTTATATGTCTGGGAATTGTCATACCAACTTACTAGGTATTGACTGGATAGATAAACTTGGTTTATGGGATTTGCCGTTGAGCACTGTTTGCAATATGATTAATTCACCAGTACCTAAATCGCTGTCAAGTGACTCTAGTCGGTTGTGTAAAAGAATTGCGTGATAAGTTTTCAGACATCTTTGAGGATAAATTGGAATTATGTGTAAAAGTAAAGGCTCGTATATATGTTCAGCAGGAAGCGAAACCTGTGTTCCTTCCAAGGAGACCGGTACCTTGTTCGATTACTGATGCTTTGGATGCAGGACTTGACAGACTGCAGAACTCTGGGGTTATTTCTCATGTAAATTATTCTGCATGGGCAACACCATTAGTGGCTGTAAGGAAATCTGATGGTAAAATACGTGTATGTGGAGACTTCTCCACTAGACTAAACAAAGCACTACAGGACCATTTATACCCCTTACCCATCCCAGAGGATTTGTTTACTAAATTGAATGGGTGCTCCATATTTTCGAAGATTGATTTTTCAGACGCATATCTCCAAGTGGAGGTCGAAGAAGACTGTAGATTTTTGCTGACTGTAAACGCAGATCGAGGATGGTTCCAATACAATAGACTGCCTTGTGGTATAAAATGTGCCCCGGAAATTTTCCAGCAAGTTATGGACACTATGTTAAACGATATTCAGTTTGCCATGGCAAATATGGATGATATTATTATTGCCAGTAGAAGTGAAAAAGCACACTATGATCATTTACTAGAAGTCTTTGCTCATATTAGAGAGTATGGTTTTCGTATAAAAGTAGAAAAGTGTTCATTTTTTATATTAAGTATTCGATATTTGGGAACAATTATCGATTCTCAGGGACGTAAACCTGATCCTGAAAAAGTACATGCCATTGTGAATATACCAGCTCCATCTGATGTTAAAATGCTTCAGTCATTTTTGGGAATGATTAACTATTATAGCCATTTTGTGCTAAATATGCATGCCCTGCGTGCTCCAATGAATGCACTATTAACTAAGAATACCAAATGGAACTGGAATAAGGAATGTCAAGTGTCCTTTGAAAAAGTGAAACAAATCTTGGCTTCTGATTTATTGCTTACTCATTATGACCCAAAACTTGAGTTGGTAGTAGCGGCAGACACATCTGATTATGGCATTGGAGCGGTGATTCTTCATAAATTTCTTAATGGGTCACAAAAAGCTATTTTTCATGCTTCACACACTCTTACTGCGGCTGAAAAGAATTACAGTCAAATCGAGAAGGAGGCTTTAGCCCTAGTGTTTGCGGTCAGGAAGTTCCACAAGATGCTATACGGTAGGAAATTTACATTGCAAACTGATCATAGACCGTTGCTGGCTATATTTGGCTCTAAGAAAGGAATACCCATCCACGCTGAAAATCGGCTGACTAGGTGGGCTACTATGTTGCTAGGATATGAATTCGAATTACTGTACAAGCCGTCAGCTTGTATGGGTCATGCAGATGGGTTGTCAAAGTTAATTGCTAATAACCGCAAGTTAGAGGAAGATAGCGTGGTTGCTTCTATATCAATTGAACCGGAAATAAAACGAGTGTTCTGTGATGCTATCAGAATCCTACCAGTAACGGCGGAAGCGGTTAAAGAAGCTACGGCTAGTGATCCTCTACTCAAAAGAATAAAAGGAGCTGTTTTAAATGGTTGGAAAGAGGATAAGGCTGATCAAGAATTTCACCAATTTTTTCTGAGACGTGAGTATATATCGATTTATGATAATTGTTTAATGTTTGGCGATCGTCTTGTTATCCCTAAATCTCTTCAGTTTTTTGTGCTTAGACAGTTTCACATTGGTCATCCGGGAATGAACAGAATGAAAGCAGTTATGCGTAGCTATGTCTATTGGCCATTCATGGATAAGGTTGTGGAAGAACACGTATTGAGATGTCGTCGATGTGCCGAAGGTGCAAAAGATCCACCGAAAGTAGAATCCCAGCCATGGCCAGAAACGAAAAAGCCTTGGGTTCGACTACACGTCGATTATGCTGGACCAATAAATGGACAATATTTTTTGGTGGTGGTAGATTCATACTCAAAATGACCTGAAATTTATTTTATGCGAAGACCGTCTACGTCTGTAACACTGTTACATCTCAGACAACTATTTGGTAGGTTTGGGACACCTAATGTTTTGGTTTCAAATAACGGGACTCAGTTCACGTCGTCAGAGTTTGCGGAATTCTGTAAACGAAATGGAATCGAACACATTAGAACTCCACCGTATCACCCTCAGTCAAATGGGCAAGCAGAAAAATTTGTTGATATTTTGAAGCGAGCTCTCTTAAAGATGGGAGGAGAAGATAATGTAGAAGAGGCTCTGCAACAGTTTCTAATTTCTTATAGAATCACACCGAGTTCAAACTGTCAAGACGGGAAATCACCAGCCGAAATAATGTTTGGCCGACCAATTAGAACATTTTTGAATGTTTTGAATCTGAAAGACCGAGTGTATGGACTACAAAAAAATAAGGAAGGGAATTATTCGAAGATTCGAGAATTTAAAGTAGGTGACTTAGTTTATGCATGTGATTTCGGCCTGGATATTTGGATGTAGTAAAAAAAGACGTGGGACAGTATTGTATGAAGTTATGGTTGACAATACACTAATTATCAGACATATCAATCAACTGAGAGACAGAAGAAATGTTTATGAGTCGCCTAAAGTCAAATCTTTACCAATCGAAGTATTATGTGATACTTTTAATATCCCACCTCCACCACAAGTTGAAATGAAAAAAAAAAAAATGAACTGAAATCAGATGCCAGTCGAAAATCATCAGGGTAACGAAAACAAACGAGATTTTTTCAAATAGACCCGAAAGTGAAGTCATGCGGTTAAACTTCGCGAGGGTGGTGATGTATGGGCGAGAACGATCGTGATTGGTTGTCTGCTTACTCGGACATGTAGACAGTCTGATAGGTGTCAGATAAGTTATATGTTCCCTTGCCCTTATTATTGTGACACACAACTGATTACGTGTTCTTGATCTGAGTTGTGTTGAAGTCCTGTAGAATAGACACTGGGAGGGATCTAGTGTAGATAATCGTTTAAGCGTTACAACATCAGACAAAGTAATACCGAGCTTTATAACACTATGTATATTCATATTCTTATTATAAGCCTTATTTCGACCTATAGACTATTATTATACAAGTTAACATTCTTAGGTTGTCCCTAGTTTATTAGTTACAGTCTCCCACAATCACAACCATTTTTAGCTAGATCTTGTGCAAATGTTATTTCCTATTTTATGGTGCGATGTGGTCTGTTTGGCTTGTATATAAATCCAGTATGTTTGAAATGTATGGTTCATATCGCGGAGACTGAGATTGATGTTCTGAATTCAACAGACAGGGCTAGACAGGAAGAAGGGACGATAAGGACTTTAGATTGTTCGTACGGGTTTATGCGTCATTGGTCCAGTTGATAAGTCACTGTTCCCTATATTAGTACGGCACAGGACCACAATATATATATATATATATACCCTTTAAATTATTGTTTACTAAGTGAATTGGTTATTTAGTACGATATGATGATTTAGGTTTTCATAATATCTACTGTAACATCCGGATGTTGGTAAGTTTGTGTATCCATTGTGGAAGTTAATAGGGTAACTCATATTCTGTGCGCAGGTTCGTGTATCCGTTATTTATTTTTTGTAATGTACAATGATGCTGTCTAGTTTGTCAAGCCAAACAGACGGAACTGTTTTCTAATCTGCATACTAATTGGAAATTAAATGCTTTAACCACTAAACCGTTTAGAGTTCCATTATTATTGGACAATAGTAGGGTGAAAATAGTACTTGTAAAAATCCTGTTGAATAAAGAAAATGAAAAAGGTTGAAATGCTTTACATGGAATACGCTATTTACCTAATGACAAATGCAAGCGATAATAGTTAACAGTATTCCAGAATGAAACTGAAACAATATAATGATTGAAGTTTGAAGCTTACGCACTTTGTAGGTATATATGACATTGGTTTGTAAGTAATACTCGTTACGAATCGATATCAGCCTGGTTCATTACTGAAGACCAGGAAATACTAAACAGATAATTCGTCCCTACATGAGACTCCGTCAAGAATGGAATCTAGGATTTGAGGTCTTGTGGCGAGTACTTGATTATTAGACCACCGGACTGACGTCTGACGGTATGTATTTTGCGACGTCGATTCCTAGTGGTGTCGTCAGTGCAAATTGCTAGGAGCCCCGCACCATGACGAGAGAGTTGTTCGGTGCTTCCTGACTTTTAATAATACCTCAATTGGGATCGGGTACTAATAATTGTTGTCTAACATTTAAAATGGTCTATACCAGACTGTCCCATCTAAAATATATGATCACGTTTATTGTTTCGGTCGACCACAACTGTAAACCTCTTCTGGTATTTGGTTCAGATTACTGTTGTTCTCTGTTAATCAGTATTGAAAGTTTCGTTTGAATTCACTGTATCTATTAGATGATCTAACTCGTATTACTTTTTTCAAATATAGTTGATATTCTCACTATTTCGACAGTCCAATAGTCATACGGATTCATCCAATCGGATTGGACCACACGCTCTTATTTTACAAGTAATTAATTATTCTTCTGTGACTAATACTATGTATTTTTTAAAACTGTATTGATTATTTTGTAATGACCTAACTTTAGTTGCCACCAGAAGTTACAGGACGATTTTAAATACTTCTAACAAACAAGTCATGTTTATAATCTATTACTCAAAAGAGTCACTCAATTTGACCGTCTTGCTCGTAAAATGCTTGAGGCCCCCAAATGCCCTGGTACGACCGAGAGTGGGGAGAGTCCGCTCTCCCTCTCGAAATGCCCTCACACGTTCACGCGTATACTACCTCTGCCAGGGAAGTCCTACTCACTGCCTTCTCGTGGCGGGGGTGTTGTTTACGAAATTGAGAGGACGAAAAGCGAATGTCCGGCGCTTTAACCGGATTCCAAACCAATGGTGCACATGGGCTCCAGTATCCTGCGGGAACAAATAGCGTATGAACCAATCGTTGATCACCGGCTACCATGGGACTGCATCTCCTCACGATGCTCCACTGCCTTGTGGATCAGATCTTCAGGTCGAAGGATCGGGGTGTGGTCCCCTAAGAAAACCACCTGCTTCGGTTTGGACACCCGGGCAGTATCACAGCTCTCACACAAATCAAATGAGATCTGTGTGGCGCATATGTATTTGGTGCCTCCTTGTACCAATATCTGTGTGTTAAAATAATTAAAAAATGCTTGAGTGATAGTGTCTAGTGATCCATTGCTTTCGAAACACTGGATCAAGATAGTAAATTTCGAAGTAGGTTGTGAACGTTGATCTACCAAATGAAGGGATATTTCTTGTTATTTGCCAAATCGGTATCTACCTGGACATGATATACTGGCTACCATGGAAATGGATTTGGCAAAAGCTATGGTCGGGCAGATCATTTCATGATGTCGTTTCGCAAACATTTTAACTGCTGAATTGGTTCGTTTCAGAGTATTCAGAATTTCTAGTTGAACTCTGTAGAATAATTAGAGTATACAATTTAACACTATGTGACATGATTCGAAGTAGGCTTAACAGGTAACTCAAATCGATACGTATTGATAATAGCTTCTGCATTGTCTCTCTGATAGCTGATGAGCGTATGAAACAAATTTTCCTATTTCCTTTGCTTTTTCATTTAGTTTGCTCATTTTTCCAAAATTATTCTTTCAGTCAGATCAAATTATCGTACAGTCACTAGCAGCTCCTATATCATCACATGTCGCTGATTGTTTGAAAAAGCTGTTAGACAATTTGCAATTGAGTTATGGTCAATATGATACCAGTTGTATGAGTAATAATCCATTCATTTCTCAAGCTGTTCCACATAAATCACCGGATTTGTCAAAATTCCAAAAACTAGTTCAGTCAGCTACAGAATTGCATAGTTTATGTCCCGTAAGTTTTAAGATGTGAAACAATATTTGATTCATTCTTTGTAAATTTGTTGTATTGTGAATGACGTACATGTTTGTGCTTACAGTTAAGGTTCATATATATTCTTTAAAAGAGTGAACAATCGTATATCATCAAGTTAGCTGTGAAAATCGTCTTTTAGAGCTAGCTCTCATCTTCTAAGGTAGTGTTTTACGAAGTGATAGTTTACCGCTAATGCACTTGGCTCTCGAGAAAATAGATTCCAGGTCCAAACTCCCTTACACCATAGATTAGATTGAATAACCGTTGAAAACGAGCGATTATTAGAATCAGCATCTTCAGTTCTCATAGTGAGTACGATGTATCTATATTATCACGCCAGTACTCACTAGTCTTCGCTTCCAAATCGTGTTAGTTTACTATGTTACACTTGTAGTGTGGCGTCGAGTCGCTTGTGACTATGATCACCACTACAAGAAGACTACATAGCTGGTTAACCGATAAGATCCCGCGTAGGCCAAATATCAGAAGGCAGTAGATGGCTGTAGTCGAGATGAATTTGCTGGCGATCTCGTGGTATCAAAAGAATACCAAGATCGTACCAGATTACAAGTGGGGTTACTGGGCGTAACCGAATTCTTACAAGGTCACAGCCAATGGAATAAAAAATGTCTTTGGTACAGTTAAACAAACAAGTACTTACTTACTTACTTACGCCTGTTACTCCTCGTGAAGGAGCATAGGCCGCTCACCAGCATTCTCCATCCAACCCTGTCCTGGGCAATGCTTTCAAGCTCTTTCCAGTTCTGATTCATCTTTTTCATATCTGCTTCTATTTCCCGATGTAATGTGTTCTTTGGCCTTCCTCTTTTCCGCTTCCCTTCAGGATTCCAAGTTAGCGCTTGTCTCGTAATGCAGTTTGATGATTTCCTCAATGTATGTCCTATCCATTTCCATCGTCTTTTCCTAATTTCCTCTTCAGCTGGAAGCTGGTTGGTTCTCTCCCACAAAAGGCTGTTGCTGATGGTATCCGGCCAATGGATGTTGAGTATTATGCGTAGACAGCTATTGATAAATACCTGTACCTTCTTGATGGTGGTTGTTGTAGTTCTCCAAGTTTCAGCTCCGTACAGTAGAACTGCTTTGACGTTCGTATTGAAGATTCTGACTTTGATATTGGTTGAAAGTTGTTTTGAGTTCCATATGTTCTTCAGTTGAAGGAATGCCGCTCCAGCTTTGCCAATCCTCGCCTTGACGTCTGCATCTGAACCTCCTTGTTTATCGACGATGCTTCCCAGGTATGTGAAGGATTCCACATCTTCCAGAGTTTCGCCATCAAGAGTGATTGGATTGCTGTTCTCCGTGTTGTGTTTGAGGACCTTGGTTTTCCCTTTGTGTATGTTGAGGCCTACTGATGCAGAGACTGCTGCTATGCTGGCTGTCTTTATCTGCATTTGTTCGTGTGTATGCGATAGGAGGGCTAGGTCATCTGCGAAGTCCAAGTCGTCTAATTGGTTCTGAGCTGTCCATCGTATGCCGTAGTTTCTCTCAGATGTCGAGGTCTTCATAATCCAGTCGACCACCAGAAGAAACAGGAAGGGAGAGAGTAGACAGCCTTGTCTTACTCCGGTCCTTACTTGGAATGCGTCTGTCAGCTGTCCTCCATGCACTACTTTGCACTGTAGTCCGTCGTATGAGTTCCGGATAATGTTGACAATCTTCTCAGGAACTCCGTAGTGTCGAAGAAGTTTCCATAACGTCCTCCTATCTACACTGTCAAATGCCTTCTCATAATCAATGAAGTTGATGTAGAGTGACGAGTTCCACTCAATTGATTGTTCGACGATGATCCGTAGTGTCGCAATCTGGTCTGTGCGCGACCGGTCCTTACGGAATCCAGCTTGTTGATCTCGAAGTTGAGCGTCTACTGCGTCTTTCATCCTGTTCAGTAACACTCTGTTGAAGACTTTACCTGGTATTGACAGTAGTGTAATGCCTCTGTAGTTTTCACACTTGCTCAGATCTCCTTTCTTTGGAATCTTGATGAGGTGTCCTTCTTTCCAATCCATCAGCATTTGTTCCTCCTCCCAAATCTTCTTGAATAGAAGATGAAGCATGCTTGTAGTTACTTCGATGTCTGACTTCAACGCTTCAGCTGGTATATTGTCAGGTCCTGCTGCTTTCTCGCTCTTGATTTGTCTGACGGCCATTCTGATTTCTTCGGTCGTTGGTGGATTGACATCTATAGGAAGATCTGTGTGTGCTGCTTCGATGTCCGGTGGATTCATTGGGGCCGGCCTGTTCAGGAGTTCCTCGAAGTACTCTGCCCATCTGTTCCGCTGTTGTTGAATCTCAGTGATTGGTCTTCCTTCTTTGTCTTTGACTGGTCTCTCTGGTTTACTGTATTTCCCTGCTAGCTTCTTCGTCGTATCGTAAAGCTGTCTCATATTTCCTTCTCTTGCAGCTTTTTCCGCCGTCATTGCTAGTTCTTCCACGTATTTTTGCTTGTCAGCTCTAATGCTCTTCTTCAATTGCTTGTTTGCTTCTATGTACTCAGCTTGTGCTTGAACTTTCTCTGCTCTTGTTCGACTGTTGTTAATTGCTGTCTTCTTGTTCTTTCTTTCTTTGATCCTGTCCAGTGTTTCTATAGAGATCCATTCCTTGTGATGATGCTTCTTGGGGCCCAGAACCTCTTGACACGTTGAAGTTAATGTTTCTTTGATACCTTTCCAGCTATCCTCCATAGTAGTTTCTTCTTCCTTCAGTAGGTCCTGTAAGGCTTGGAACCTGTTGTTGAGAGCTACCTTGAATTCATTGAGTTTGTCAGTATCTCGAAGGAAGGCTGTATTGAACCTTTGTGGTGCTGTTTGTCCAGTTGTCCAGTTCTTCTTTAGTTTCAGTTTCAATTTGGCCACAACCAGGTGGTGATCTGAAGCTATGTCCGCTCCTCTCCTGGTTTTCACATCTTCCATTGTCCTTCGGAACTTTTTATTGATGCAAATGTGATCTATCTGGTTCTCTGTGGTGTGGTCCGGTGAGATCCACGTAGCTTTGTGTATACGTTTGTGTGGAAATGTTGTACCGCCTATGACCAATCTATTGAATGCACACAGATTTGCAAATCTTTCCCCGTTTTCGTTTCTCTCTCCCAGTCCATGCAGTCCCATGATGTCTTCATATCCCGTGTTGTCCATTCCGACTTTGGCGTTTAGATCTCCCATCAGAATGGTGAGGTCCTTCCTTGGGCACTTCTCTATGATTGATTGCAGCCTCTCATAGAATTGATCCTTAACGTCGTCGTTGCTATCATTGGTAGGTGCATAACATTGGATAATGTTCATTGTGATCCCCTCCTTCTTTGTTTTGAATGATGCTTTGATGATTCTGGATCCGTGAGATTCCCATCCTACCAGTGCATTTCGTGCTACTTTGGATAGCATTAGAGCAACACCCTGAGTGTGTGGAGCATTTTCCTCTTTGTGACCGGAGTATAGCAGCATCTCTCCCGTATTTAGCTTTTGTTGTCCAGCTTGGGTCCAATGGGTTTCACTGATTCCCAGCACTGTCAAGTTGTATCTCCTCATTTCCGTTGCTATTTGACTGGTCTTCGCGGTCTCCCACATTGTCCGGACGTTCCATGTACCTATAAAAATTGTTTCTCTGGTTGTTAGAAGGGGCATCGGCCTCGTGGCTTCCGAAGGAACTCGGCTTTCACCATGAGTCGTCATATTTCTTCTAACTGAAGACCTTCTAAATTCCAGGGCAGAGTTTAAATGGTTTGAGTTATTTTTTCTGGTTAGCGTTTTTTTAGCGAGTTAGGTTTCTACGGGATGGGGACGCTAACCCCATGCCCAACCCTCCTCCTTTACCCGGGCTTGGGACCGGCAGTAACTCTGGAAGAGTTACAGGCGGAGTTTATCGTACAATTGTTATGTAACTAAACTGTTCATATTCATGTCCCTCTTATTATGTTTTATTTTGACCTATGAACTATTATTATATGATTTACCTTTTTTGAGTTGTGACCTGTCTATTAATTACTATCCCCCTCATTCACAGCCACATTTGGCTAATTATTGTACAAATGTTGTTTCATATTTTATGGACGATGTGATCTGTCTGGTTGATATATAAACCCAGTATGCTTGAAATATATGATTCATATTGCAGAGGCTGAGATTGGTGTTCTGGACTCAACTGGCTAGGCTAGGCGGAAAGCAGGACCAATCAGGACTCTAGGCTGCTCTCACGTGTTTTATGCGTCACTGGTTCGATCGATAATTCGCTGCTCCCTAATTGGAGGTATTATTACGTTATCCATAAACAGGGCACACAGGCTCACAAGTTATGACAGATTTTATTAACACCACTTTTGGATGTTAGTTCTCCTATAAAATAGACCAATGAATTTTCACAAATCAACATTGTATTTTTCATATGAAGGTTTAGATAACTAAAGTTCGAACTCACTATAGACGTATGGGAAGGTAGTTTTAGCCAATTAATTCTTCCTTCATGTGTGAATTCAATCCGGCAAATTTATGAGTCAAGATCTCCACTATGTGATGGTCTTTATGCAATGTTTTTTTTCGAAAATAATCTATTTCTGCACATTAAGGTAGCATTACGGTTTAAAGATTATTTAATTTTGCTGAATATAATCGACCACTTGAGTTGATAATGAACAATTCAATCTTGTGATGGCCATTTTCAAAAAAACCGAACTGATTTAAATATAGCCCCTATAAACGAATATCAATAAAATATTTCATGTGCAACGTATAAACTATTTTATGTAATAAAAATGATAAACTTATGTACACAAGCTATTTATCACAAAATAAAGATGATTAGAAACTTCTGGTGTAAATCATCATTAGGGTTTTCTATTTCATTTACCAGCCATTAGATTAGAGTCATTACAATAGAAATTCATTTATTTCATAATTTTCAGATTTAGTCAAAATTATTTGTCCTTTACTTATAAAGCCTAATTTTCTGACCTTCGTATGCAACAACGGCTTATTGACTGAATCATTTAATTATCAATAACACTGAGTTGTAAGGGCAATTTTTGCTCCAATTGCTTTAATCTGAAAGTTGAATAATATTATCATAGCACTTTAAAAGTATACTACAAGCTCAGTACATAATCATGTACATGCATTAAAAATCTCAGTTATATGCTTACATATTTTTTCAAAAACTTTCCGCAGAATTTCGAAGAACAATTTTGGTGCATCCATTGTCCAAATGTATGGAGTGAATTTCTTACAATAATCGATATGACGACGTATAATTCTGTCCATCTTGTTAACAACAATCATCGAATCAATGATTGTATAATATACCGTCAATCATTAATTGAATCTCTTCCTTTGACTATATGGTCATTAATGCCAATTAATATATCGGTGTCTTCAATAGTTATCAATAACAATCAACCATTCAATCATTCTCCAATATCGTTAATAATTGATATTGATAATAAATTAATCCCTATGGATTCAAAATCATCATCCTCACACATGCTAAGTCAATCAGTAGATCAATATCCAATCAAAATCTCTTTAGGTTCTACAGATCAATTATACACTAATCGTATTATATTATCACGCCTTATCAAATTTTCTACCAAGAACAGTGAAAAACTGAGAATTCCTGACACATTAGATCAAATCATATTCTTGTATTATATATATCAGCAAATTTCTTATGTACAAACACGTTTGTACTTAGACTATCAAGAATTTACACAAATCACCGAAAGTCGATCCACATTATCAATCAGTCCACAATCAAATCATAATTACCATAAATTGTTATATTGTGTAGGTTTTTCCACACTACGATCAATTGAGCTGAACGTAAATGTTTGTCAAGAAAATGAAATTCGTATGAAACAAGTATCGTCTCCTAGTTTCACAGAGAATAATATTGACACTAGTCTACCGAATACTCCAAATGTATCTGCTACAAGTGTCAATTTTTTTCCGAATAAATCTTTATCAACTACTTTATCGTCATCGTCATCATCACCATCATCTTTAACAAAATTCTCACATATTCGTACTCCACTTTCTGCTGCCACAGTGCTACCGTTATCATCGCAGACATCGCTTCGCCATCATCATTCCATGTTTACACCCTCGTGGGATTCGTTATCATTAAAAACCGAAGGTTCTGTGTTAGACAGTAGTAAATTGAATAGAACTAATCTTCGGAGATCGATGCATGGGCGTATTAATTCCTCAGGTGATAGACCACAATCTATATTACAAAATGATTGTGGTTGTGGTATTGGAGTTACTGATATCATTACTAATAACAGTAATAGATGTACGAATAAGTTAGCAAATTCCGATTTACCATCACCCAAAATGTTTTTAATGAAACGTAAAACTCACTCAACAGTTACGTTTGTCAATAAAAAAAGTGAATGTAATGCGGTTGACCGAAACAAACAGTCACAAAACAAACCTCTCTCTGAACAAGATCTTTTTATGATTAATCCTGTTGCGGTAAGTTGCTATAAAAAATTACTTTCTTGTCTTTTTAAATAAGTGTATCTTTTTTAATGAAAAGTCATGAATTGAGATAAGGCGTTCTGTTCAAGTGTATCAGTCACATTGAATTATCATCGTTCTGTCTCTGAAAATGAATAAATTTGGCAATGTAAACCACTGGTTTTTGACTGCATTTTCGTGGATGGACTTGAAAGTTTTTTGTGAAGCCATGAATGCATTTGGATTTCGATTCGCAGATTATAACGAAACAGCTATCCAGTAACTTCAGTTTCCAATGTCCGCCAGTTGATGATAAAAATGAAAAGTCAAATCTCCACCAAACACCTTAATCCTTTAAATTAATAAAAGTAAACTGATTTTACCAACTTACGTACGGGTTCATGTGCCCTGATTTGAATCACATTTTCGAATGTGTGTGCTTCTTGCTCACCTAATCGGCTCCCTTGACCTCAGTAGGTAAAGTCAAATTAAATTCCATTACTTTATAGATGACATTAAAATGGTTTACTCCTGGTTCTCATCATATATTTATCATTTCTTTTCCAAAGAGAAACAAGTCGAATATCGCTTACAAAATCAACTGTAATAAGCATTACATTCTAAAAACTAATCTCTCTTTGTGACTAACAAGCTATAAGAAATTTTGACATTTCGTCTAAAAAATGTATATATATACACATACAGTTGGATAACGGGCCCCCGAATGCCCTGGTACGACCGAGAGTGGGGAGAGTCCGCTCTCCCTCTCGAAATGCCCTCACACGTTCACGCGTATACTACCTCTGCCAGGGAAGTCGTACTCACTGCCTTCTCGTGGCGGGGGTGTTGTTTACGAAATTGAGAGGACGAAAAGCGAACGTCCGGCGCTATAACCGGATCCCAATTCTATGGTGCACATGGGCTCCAGTATCCTGCGGGAACAAATAGCGTATGAACCAATCGTTGGTCACCGGCTACCATGGGACTGCATCTCCTCACGATGCTCCACTGCCTTGTGGATCAGATCTTCAGGTCGAAGGATCGGGGTGTGGTCCCCTAAGAAAACCACCTGCTTCGGTTTGGACACCCGGGCAGTATCACAGCTCTCACACAAATCAAATGAGATCTGTGTGGCGCATATGTATTTGGTGCCTCCTTGTACCAATATCTATGTGTTAAAATAAATAAATAAGTTGGATAACGGGGAATACGAGTTTGACTGGGGTCAAGTGAATGATCACGCTATGATCCTGTATGCGTGTTTCGGAGACACAGCATACATCAATGGTACGAGATTCTAAGGTTTTAGCCAAGGAAGCCTGCTGACCGATTTGGCATAGTGTGCGTACGTTGAAGGCTCCAATGTGTAGTTTGGAGCGAGGTTTCAGTAGACCTGGGACAGTGTTTTGAGCACTAGAATCGTTGGCTGTGGTGACACTTGAGGAGGACGCTAAAAGACGAAGTTTAGTGTATAAAGTCGATGTAGGAGGAATAATAGGAATTGAAGAGAGAGGTTGATTATGAATACAGTGGTCTTGAGTGCTGTTAGAGGTATGAGGGCGGTTATCACTTCCCGGTTGCCCATACCGTGGAAGGGTTCTGCTAGACGTACCTGAAAAGTAAATTGGATTAGAGGTGGTCTTAGTGACCTGAGAGCGTGACCGCAGTGCCCAAGGGACAGCTGCTTGAGGTCGGTCACACACGACCTTTTTATGAGTAATTTATGTGTTAGCTCCGTACTTGTTGAGAGCTTACCACCGGAGACGGATATCCATGGGATAAGGCGAGGTGTGCATTTTTAGGGTCGACCTTTTCTAACCCCATTCTTCCTTGTAGGAAGGCAGCATCGCTGTCATACTGGTCGTCTGAAGGAAATACCTTACTGCTGTCACACCTCTGTACAGTCAGCAGTACGACTTCACCTTCCGACCTTGGTTTTGTTGCTTTTAGTCTTACCGCTCTTCAACCGACCTGTCTGGCACTGTAGGACCTTGAGGAACGGTTCTTCCAGCCAGTATAGCTCAGTTTCTTCATCACGATAGGCAAGCCCGACCACCACGTCAAGGTAGCAACGACGGTCAGGACCGGCTACCATGGGTTTGCATCTCCTCACGATACTCCACTGCCTTGTGGATCAGACATTCAGGTAGAAGGCTCGGTGTGTGGCCCCCTAAGAAAACCACCTGCTTCGGTTTGGACACCCGGGCAGTATCACAGCCCTCACACAAATCAAATGAGATCTGTGTGGCGCATATGTATTTGGTGCCTCCTTGTACCAATATCTATGTGTTAAAATAAATAAATAAGTTGGATAACGGGGAATACGAGTTTGACTGGGAACACCTTGGGATCCCATAGAAGCCCCCAAATGCCCTGGTATGGCCGAGAGCGGGGAGGGTTCGCCCTCCCTCTCGAAATACTCTCACGCGGCCACGCGTATACAGCTTCTGCCAGGGAAGTCCTACTCACTGCCTTCTCGTGGCGGGGCTGTTGTTTACGAAAATGAGAGGACGAAAAGCGAACGTCCGGCGCTATAACCGGATCCCAATTCTATGGTGCACATGGGCTCCAGTATCCTGCGGGAACAAATAGCGTATGAACCAATCGTTGATCACCGGCTACCATGGGACTGCATCTCCTCACGATGCTCCACTGCCTTGTGGATCAGATCTTCAGGTCGAAGGATCGGGGTGTGGTCCCCTAAGAAAACCACCTGCTTCGGTTTGGACACCCGGGCAGTATCTCAGCCCACACACTAAAACTATGATGAACTATCTGCTTATAGAAAATATTCGTTTCTCTCCGACTAACATTGAAATGACTGGTATTATTATCATTATTATTATTATTATTATTATTATTATTATTATTATTATTATTATTATTATTTACTACGTCATTTATTCACTATCTCCTATTTCTACTTTTTGTATCCGTTTCGACTCAGACAGCAGCTCGCCTATGGTGAAAATTCAGCTTTATCTAAACGTTCTCGAGTCACTGCCTAGTTGAAAATTGTATGTTACTACCGAATATGAGTACTGAAGCAGTTTTTCTGAAACCACGTGCACCATTCAAACTGGCTGCCTTCAACGTTCGCACACTTATGCAGGTCGGACAACAGATAGGGCTGGCTATGTCTTTGGAAAGTCTTAATATTGATGTGTGTTGTCTATCCGAGATCCGTATTCAAGACTCTGGTGAAGTACTACAAGTTCGCTCTCCATCTGTCGCTTCAAAAAGCTTGTTTTATGTGCGTTTATCCGGGGACCCTGTGGCTTCTTCGTCTGGTCTTGCTGGTGTTGGTGTCGCACTAAGCGCAAGAGCTGAGGCAGCACTAGTCGACTGGATCCCCATTAACAGTCGGTTATGTGCTGTTAGATTAGAAAGTTCCATCAAAGTGAGAAGAAATCGACGTGAGAAACGATGTCTTTTCGTCATCTCCACCTATGCCCCGACAGATTGCAACCCGGATGCAATCAAGGACGAGTTCTACCACCAGCTAACTGTTCTTCTCCAGAAAGTGCGTTCGACAGATATTGTAGTACTAGCTGGAGACTTGAATGCTCAGGTCGGGCGTCTAGGCACAAAAGAGAGTCGTTTAGGTGGCCGATGGGGACTCGTTGGTCGCAGGACAGATAACGGGGAACGTCTGCTGCAACTATGCACAGACCACAACCTGTTTCTGGCTAGCACTAACTTTCGGCACAGTCATCGCCGATGTGCCACCTGGCGTCCTCATTCTGCATCTCAAGCCTGGACTCAGATTGATCACATCGCGATCAGCTACCGCTGGCGTGGTTGTGTACAAGACTGCCGCTCCTTTTGGAGTACCTATCTGGAATCTGATCATGCTCTGGTCTGCGCCAATCTTACCTTACTTTTCAGTGGACAACGAAGTGACTACCACCAAAGGATTGATGTTAGCAAGCTGGCTGCAACTTCTGTTGCTAGTAAGTACCGAACCGAGCTAGCTTCTAGGCTAGCTACCATTCCACCGAAAAGTATAGATGAGCATTGGTTGCAATTGCTTGACGCCATGAAAATGGCGGGTACGGTCTGTTGTGGGTTTGCGAAACGTCCCGCTTATAAGCACTGGGTTTCTTCTGGTTCCTTACAACTGATTGAAGCCCGTCGGTCTACTCCGGGTGACCGTGAGTTTGACCACAGATGAAGGATGTTACGTAATGAAATCGGGCATAGCTTGCGTAAGGACCGAGAAGTCTGGTGGTCGGAGCGTGCCAGTGAGTTGGAAGCAGCAGCTGCATCTGGTAGCTACCGGAAACTCTTCCAACTCATCCGAGCCACTGGCAGCAAGAAGTCTGGTGTGAGCGAAACAATCTGCGAGGATGACGGAACGCCAATCACTAACATCCATCGACGTCTTGGACGATGGGCAGAATTTTTCGAAGGGCAGTTCAACTAGCCTGCTGCTCCGGCAACACCAATCAGACTGTCCTGCCCTCCATGGCCGGTGACGACTGATCCACCAAATGAGGCGGAAGCCCGCAAGGAACTCCAACTCTTGAAGCGCTACAAATCACCGGGCCCAGACGACTTACCTCCGGCTCTTTTTAAAGATGGTGGTGACTTTCTGACTAAGGGACTGAAGACGTTGTTTACAAAGGTCTGGGAACTAGAGAGTGTACCAACGTCATTGATATGATGGGAAGAAATATCAATATTCGATTGATTTACTTAATATGAGTTTTATTCATCATTACATCCTTTTGATTCAATGTAATGATTACGCAATGTAATATGTCTTTTCTTTTCTCGTATATTTATTCTGTATAATATACAATATTCTTGTATTCCATTGGCTATGAACTATACTCAGCATATGATTTGTTATAACTGTGAGTATTTTTCATGTATGTGATTTTATTCTAATTATTAATCAAAACGGATGTACAATCAATATATAAACGAGTATATTTTCTACTAAAGAGACTTCGCTCGTCTCTGGTTGCTGCAGAATACACTTCTCATTTTAAGTGTACCAACGTCATGGAATGAGTCGATAGTTGTCCCTATCTTTAAAAAGAGTTCACGTCGTTCCTGTAACAACTATCGGGGGATAAGTCTACTTCCGATTGCGTCCAAGCTATTGGCTTCCGTCATACTTCGTAGGTTGTTCAGAACCCGAGAAGGATTGACTCGCGAGGAGCAGGCTGGGTTTCGTTCTGGTCGAGGATGTATTGATCATATCTTCACCCTCCGCCAAGTGTTAGAACATCGCCATACTTATCAAAGGCCAACAATCGTAGTGTTTCTTGATATCAGGGCTGCCTTCGATTCGTTGGACAGAACTGTTCTCTGGGATTGTCTATTGAAGAAGGGTGTGCCTGAGAAGTTTATTAACATCCTAAAAGCCCTATACACAAACACCTCAGGCAGAGTGAGGGCATACAACCACCTTTCTCCACTATTCCATTCGAGCAGTGGAGTTAGGCAGGGTTACCCAATCTCACCATTCCTCTTCAACTTTGCCATCGATGACATTCTGGAAACAGGTCTGATGGATGTAAGTAATGGCGGTGTGGATCTGTTGCCTGGAGAAAGACTTCTCGACCTTGAGTATGCGGATGATATTGTCTTACTGTGCGAGAATGTTCAAGCCATGCAATCCGCACTTAATCAGTTGGCAATGTCCGTAGGTATGGTATGTGCTTCGCACCTCCAAAGTGCAAAGTACTCCTACAAGACTGGCAGGATTCTAATCCTGTACTCACTCTGGACGGTGAGCAGATAGAAGTGGTCGAGAAGCTCGTGTATCTAGGTAGCTGCATAAGTGCTGGTGGTGGTGTGAGTGATGAGATCAATGCACGTATAGTGAAAGCCAGAGCGGCTTATGTCAATCTGGGCCATCATTAGCGCCTTCGTGATGTTAGTCTGGCTGTAAAAGTTCGGATCTACAACGCGACGGTAAGAGAAGTTTTGCTCTATGCTTGTGAGACCTGGCCTCTCCGAGTTGAGGGTGTTAGACGGCTCTCTGTGTTCGATCATCGTTATATCCGAAGGATTGCTGGCATCCAGTGGCAACACCATGTCAGTAATGCAGAGGTTCAGCATCGTGTGTTCGGTCACAGAGACGATAATTCTATTGGTGTCACCATCTTGAAACACCGACTTCGGTGGCTTGGACATGTTCTACGAATGTCGTCCCAGAGAATTCCACGTCGTGCATTATTTGCCGACTCTGGGACTAGTTGGAAAAAGCGGAGAGGTGGTCAGTGTATGACATGGTGTCATGGTATGAAAGAAAGCTGCAAAGGGCTAGCTTCTGTTGGTCCTTCACGACTCTCTGGTTGGGGTCTGAGAGACGGTGTAACGCAGTGGCTAGAGACGTTATCAGATATGGCTCAGAATAGAAGCCAGTGGCGATCGTGCTGTAACCTTCTTTTACTTTCTTCATAAAAAGTGGTTGTATCTTCCTTAACTGAAAGATCTCTTCTGATTGTACCTTTCCGTTTTCCCCATCATTGTTCTCTCCCTCTTCTTTTTTATAATTCCCCACGTTCATTACTTTTTTTTTTCTCTTCAAATTATCATTGTTTTGTGTGGCGCATATATATTTGGTGCCCCCCTGTACCAATATTTATGTGTTCAAATAAAATAAAATAATAAACCTTGGGATCTTAAATAAAGGCAGCAAAAAGAAGATCAAGTAATTTTCCAAAGCTCATCATTCAGATAACGAGGAAATAACATTAGATGTAATCTTTCACATTCAAGGCCATTTTAGAACGGGGAGCTATATATTGATCTATCCTGGGACATATTCAGTCGATTTTCTGTAAGTGAAGTAAACCTTTATTATTATCACTGTTTCAAATAACACAGTGTTATCAGAGTGCATTATCAACCGTGCTCTACTTTCACATCGGTTAAATACTAATTCACAGTTTAGGCAAGTTGTTTAGCTCCCGTCATTCTCACATAGATTCAAAACGAGGACCTATCAACTCATGGTTATTTCAGATGAATCTAAGTGTCCCGTCAAGTCTTTGTATTGTGTTTTAACTACGCATAAAATGGATAAGTAGTAAAAATAATTACTGTAGATTTGTTTTCAGTGGTAACATGCTATTGTTTTTTATTTAACTGCTCACTTTAGGATGGAGTTTGGGCAAACAATTCATCTACAAATAATTTAAGTCAACAGTTTTCTATTTCCAGTGATTTATCTGATCTACATAGTATATCCAGTTCGATGGATGATTGGACTAAGCCATATGAATTTTTATCTAATTTGAATTCATCGTGTACATATCAAACTGACGATATGTTATGGCCATCTCTTAATCATCAGCATCTGATCAACTCTTCATCGTTTTTATTAAGTCCAGATGAGATTGGTTCAGAATTGTTAGACGTAGATGTCTTTGCACCATATACATTGAACACTCCCGCTACTACTACTACTACTACTACTACTACTACTACTACTACTACTACTACTACTACTACTACTACTACTACTGCTACTGGTCTAACAGCAGCAATGGAAAAGTTTCAAGAGCCAAAATCAGAGGAAAATTTTACTGATCATGACAGATTTCGTCAATGGAAAAAGTCAAATATATCGAGTGTAATTATACAGTTGGCTGGATTTTCATTTGAAGCGGGTAATTGTAACTACAGAATTGATTAATAATAGAATACCTGAACGATATACTAATAAAGATTTCGTTTAATTTTAGTCAATATAATGAAAGTTGTATAGAAGCTAGATAAGGAGCTCGAACTATTCCTTATATTATATTGTGGGTTTCCAAATCCTGATACAATCGAATAAGCTCTCTATATACAAACCCAACCAACTATTTGAATGAGAAAGCTTCTATTGATGGACATCTGATTACCTCACTGCATCATCTTTCCCTCCTGAAAGACATTAGATCGAGCCTCTTGGGTTCAACTGTAGTAACTTAAGTGGGAGTGGGATTGCTTTTCTTGATTCGTTCCAAGTAGTTTAGTCATATCAATAGGTTTCACGTATAAAGTAGAGCTCACAAGTGAATACATTATCATTATACTTGTTCATTAAGTTATATTGGCTTAGAATGATGATAATCACTATCAGAAGAAGCATTTGTTTAATATTTATAAGCAATGGATTTATGTTGAACATATATACCTATGCATCACTAGGATGATTTGTATAAACCGAAAATTGTCCACATTTTTATTTGACTTTATATTGTTCAACGATAATATCTCCTCTATTACAATTACTTGCATCAATTCAGGTTTTCACAACCAGCGTAAACTTCTGGGTCAGTACCATTACGTATGAAATCTTAGTTAAACAAAGTCATTCAGTTATAAACATTGCGGGATTTAACATAGATTTTTAATCACCACATTTCAAATTATCACAGTACGAAGAAACCATGTCAAAATCAGTAGATTCGAAATAATAGTATTAGTAGTAATAAAGAACTATATATACGAAGTATAGTTCAAAGTGGTCGCATTAAATAAATCATTAATAACTATACCCTTCAACCGTAGATTACAAGTGTCTCGAGGACCCGAACTACAAAGTCTGCGCCTCCTGAAATGACTCAGTTCAACAGTTATTGACTTCTCAAAATATATTAGACAAAACCTTATCGTTGTTTTTTTATTAACGTTCAGTACTAAATGAAGTTTCTTAAAGTATACATCAGTGCACTCAGTTTTGAGCCACAATTTTTAATATGTAGAGTTAGTGATACTACGTGACTAACTATACCATAGTAAATGGAGTGTGGTTAAAACATACAACCTTAATAGTTCGTAGTCGTGTTCTAATCCACAAACCAATATTTTGCATCAAACTACTTGGTAGCACTCGTTGATTCGTCAAGTTTCGAACGACAATCACTAACAGTGCTTTCTCCGTTATTTTTATTCGACAGTCGATTTATGTAGAGTTCTCTCTTATTATATAGTCATTATTTTACAAGTCACAGATAAATTTGTCAACAACAATATAGTTACTTTTCAGTGCTCACTAACGACTTCGATTAAACTATGTGTATGAGTAAATATAAATTGAAATAGTTTAAACTCGTGTTGTACATAATATCAATGGTTATAAACTCAGAAATCGTTAATCTGTTGTAACCTTAGTTATTTCCAAGTGATCATTCTATAAATATGTAATCTGTATCATAAAAAAGGCTAATCAGTAACTCAACAGTTGAAGTACTCAATCTAAATCCTGCCTAATCGACGTCAAGCTATTATAATCAGTTTGTATCACTATCCCTTACAAAGATTATATGGCTTAGAGTTAGGGACACTAATGTACACTTGGTAAATAATTTACTTTTTAATGTTTTTTAGATGCTATGAATTTAGAAACACGTTTTTGGATTGTATTTAAATCACTTCAATTATTTATGAAACCAGAAGAATCATTTCATTGTCCCATCGCTTCATCTCGTGCTGAACCTGACCAAAGACAACATAATGAATTTGTACAATCTGATTATTTATGGTCAATTTTCCTAAGTTTTGGTGGTGATCCAACGGGTAGACTAACAAAACTAAAGCCTACAACTAGTGATATTTATCCATGGTTATATGCCAATGCTACTTTATTAAAAAATTGGAGACTCATTATCCCATCAAATATTCAACAATTATTTATTCACGTATGGCATCAGATTGGCGGCCATAAAAACATAAATCCATTAAATTCTTCTCTGTGTAGTAGCATACATGGAGTTAGCGTGGATAATAATACTAATAATAACGATTCAATTAATTCACCTCCAAGATGTTCAATTCGTTTATTGTTAAAACAGGGAAATTTATCACTGAAACTGGAATCAGGTGACAATGAAAATCCAGAACGATTAAAACTCTTCAGACAGGTGTGTAAATGTTATCTTTTAAAATGCATCATTACAGATTTTCCAGTCATTATTGACTACTTTTATAAAAAGCTTAAAAACAGTTACGGTATTGAATATCATAAGTGGCAACACTTCAGTGATTGCTATATTTCCTTACCTATCTTTTGGAGAAACAAGATACAGCCATATTGAAATTCGTGATTGTAAAGCACAGTAGGAATGCCCTACAAATAGTTTATTTAACATGGAAAAAGGTTTTAAGAGTAAGGAAACTCATCGGAAAATTTCCGAGTTAAATGTTTATACATGGTAGATAATCCCTGTTGTAGTAATTCCTTTATTACATCGTCCTACATCATCACAACTAAAGTGCATGTAATAAAGAGAAATACTTTTATTCATTATTTGAAAGGTTTTGTATCTTTCCATTATTGATGTTAAGGACTGGAATTAACCAGTCTCTTATTGTATCTTGAGCGGATTACTCCGATGATTGACATAAAGTTCCTGACTCGTCCTATTTGGTACTCGTTAGCTGGATGTGTTTGTACCCGTTGTGATAACATAGATACTGGGATCCAGGTGCATCCATCTGACGAGTTCTAAATATGACGGAACACGTCCTGAATTCCACTGCCAACCACTATCCAACTTTAATAGAGAAAAATATGTTGCAATATTCTTGCAGTATTTTTTCACTGAACCTTTTTTGCTAGTAGATTAACGGGGTTCAATTAATTGTATCCATATGATTAATTCGATGTGCCAATTATTTTTATAAGTTGTGATTTGAATTGTTAATTTACTTGATATACAAAATAATTGTATTGAGGCATATATATATATATATATATATATATATATATGATTTTGTGAAAAAGAAGAATTAATTTACAATTAGTACACAGAGGAGATTCAGTTGCCTATTCAATCGTTATGAAGAAACAATATAAGTTAATAAAATGGGAAGATTTTTCTTACTTATCTACGGACAACTTGTTCTTATCACATAACCAAACATATAATATTTCAATGAAGCAATTACAATGATAATTATTATTAGTGACAAGCCATTTTACTAACCGATATTAAGTGAAAGTCATAGAATATCTTAGTTATTCTTCCGCTAATCTGAGGATTTTTAGCACTCTGCACACACATACACATCCTTAGTCACTTTAATGTTCAAACCTTGTTATCAAAAGAGCATATTACCGCTCAGTGGCTGGAACTTGGTAGCTTTTCAACCCACATCGCTTTACATTCAATGAAAATTTATTATTAAATCCATGAACGCTGTTAGAAAGCCCACTGGCTATAAAAGTCTTCAAACTCTTCAACATTTTGGCCAATAAATAAGAATGATTCATATCAGTATCAGTAATTCCTATTGATGTTTTACATTATATTTAAATAGTTGTTTCTGCAACAAGGATTGGTTATTGAACTAACAGAATACGGTGTATTTCGAATTGCATTTGACAAATTCACGGTGAATATGGAACAAATTAATAATATGGAATGTGTAAATCATTGTCGTAACCGTGCAAGGAGTATTGATAATGAATTATTATCCTCCTACTCTCCAGTAAACACACCCAGTGCTTTTCATAATATCCTAATCAATCGATATGCATTCGAGAATAAAATATTGAAAGATAAGGTAAAGTTAACTCTAAGTTTATGGACTATTTCTTTAGATCCAGCTCCATGCTTATATTTGTATAATGCTCACTGACTAGTGATACGTTAAATTAATGAGTATGCTTACTTGACTGAAACTTGTATTTTGTAAAAAAGAAAACTAAATTAAGTAGATACTTCGGTGGGAGTGTTCATTATGGAGCTGAGATCATTGACTGAAAAGAAAGTTTGACCGACGAATACGATAGTAACAATAGCAACGTGGAATCTTGTCCGTCGATAAGACTATTTAAGTTCTTACGTTGCATAATAAATGTGGGAAAGTCATTGAAATGAATAGTAGTATAAAACAGTCGAAACTCTCCTTTTTTTTTCCTTTGATAAACCATGATGACGGATACCTTCGAATGTCGTAAAGGAAAGGATGTGATGAGTAACATACCGTAAATACAAGTGAACTAACATACGCACATCGAATTGTTTATTCAGAGCAAATCGCATTTCATTCGGGGCCCATTTAAGCTTATGGCTATAGTATGTTATGCAAAGACTAGCTGCATGGAGTTTTACCAGATTGGCTTCTTCAGAGCTATACCAAATTTAAAGGTTTATGAATGATATTTTCTTAAAAACTATGAGGTTTTTGTAAATTGTCTAACTCGCATAATTTTTTTTAATTAAGCATATCCATTTTTAAGAAAGGTTGATGTCAGAATAAACAGTTCATTTTTAAAGCAGTCTGACGGACAAATTTGACGTTATCATTAGTACATTGAAGGGATTAGACACCTTTTCCTCTATTGAAACCCAACTTTCAAAATATCAGTCACTCATAAGCCATATAGAATCCGGCACAGATGTGTGTTGGTCGAATTTGGAAAATATATTAGTTATTCGTTGTACATGGGTTTTCTATCCATTCTTTTCAGTATACCAAACATCAAGAGACATACCAATTTCTTCAATCAGTAATGACATTGCACAACGGTCCTGATCTTATGAGTGTTGCTGCCAGCCCCCAAATATGTTATGGTAGTTTGAAAGCAGAACTAAATTTTAGAGTAGCTTACGAATTAATATTTGATCACTGAGTAATTTATGAAACTATAAGCTGCCACAGTTTATAATTAAGGGATCACAGTTATCATTCAGATGGTTAAATAGAAATCAATTTTAACCTGCAACCTAATTCTGTTGTAATTTCATAACCGCTGCCCTATGAGACTACTCATGAAAATGCAAAATTTAACCATTCTTTAGTAATTAAAATAACCCATAGTGTCATTGAATAAGAAAAAGAGAAATCAGCGAAGAAAATTTTCTTTTCGACGAAATCATTTACTTAAGCTGTACATTCGTATATATATTTATATGATTTCTTCGAAAAGAAAATTTTCTTCGCTGATTTCTCTTTTTCTCATTCTTTAGTAACTAATTATTGACCAATTTGGTTTCAAACGATAAATTTTCTAGCCAAGCTGAATTAAGCAAAGTCAAGTTACAAACTTCTAACCCAATAGCTGAACTTTGTTCTTATCAGTAAGCGGTCTACACTCAGTGCATCTGACATTTTTACATACCATTTAAGTGGACACATATTCTGTACCCACATAGTGAGGATGTTAATAAAATGCTCAAACTAATAACGTATGTGTGCCAAAAAGCTTATATATATATATATATATATATATATATATATATATATATATATATATATATATATATATATGTATATTTAGTCGAAGTCAGTCGGTGATATGAACTTCTTTGAAATCTAACAACCTCCATGAACGAGCGGCTTTGAGTGATTGTCACGCTGTACAGAAAATTTACAAATATTCAGAATGTATAACACTGGATGTTAATTTGGGGTGTGAGTTCGTACTGCTTTCATTGTTTATCTAGTTGATGCCAATCCGTGATGAAACCTAACTAACAAACACATCTTCATAAATTACATATCTTAATGGATTTTATAATAATAATTATTATTGTAGATTGAGGCCTTGACAAATGAGTTAATGAAACTAAGATCAATGCATAATGCTTAATACTCATCAACTATTCCGAAAATATGATTATGGAATACTACAAATTATACATGCATTTCTCCCTTTGACAACATTTAACCATTTCAATGACTAAATTCTTTCTATCAAAAAATTGGTTTTCCATGTGAGAGTGAATATCGTTAAATTTTTAGCACAGAAAAACTAATTGTATTCATAATTTTAATCAGGAATCAAAGTATTCCTGTTCTTTTTTCTTCCGATCATTATCTCATAACAATGTACATGTCAGTGCACTTGTCTGTCCATCACTCATGGACAGATCCCTGATAGGAAATTCTTTTTCAGATGTACATATTTACTTCTCAATCGCCATAAATTAAACTAATTTGTGTACAGTTTGTTTTGGTTTTCACTTATCGACTTATTTAGTAATTTCTTTGTCCATGGACTTATTTTGTACCTTTTTTCTCGGGTCACTTTTTTTGTCTTACCATTTATTGTTGATTTATTGAATTCCAAACATATTGACTGTTTTTTTATTAGAAATCAGCATTCTTTAATTACTCAGTGTTTTTTTTATTTGTTCACTAGATGAAGAAGGAAACAAGGTATACAAATACACATATAACAACAAAAGATAGTTTTATTCTGTTGGAATGATCTTTGATCCTCTTTTTCTCGTTGGCTCGCACACACAATGCGGTGCCCAAACCTCATTAGTGGATAGTGCCACATGTTTCTCCTGATGAATCTGGAGATGGTTCTCGTCATCAATGAATATCATCTGGAAAACCACTAATAGCCACGAGTTCCCTAGGGAGCTGTTTCGTCCTAGTATGGGACTCCTCAGAAAAATTGCACCTAAAACCTCCAGGTCTCGTGTCGAGTACCATGGTTTTTGACTTTCGATCGTGATAAAATGGTTTATATTTAAGATTTCAGTCCTATGGGTGGTAATTTTCCTGTTCTGGACATAGTGGGGGTGTCTCTACATGATTCTAAGTTTTCGTACTTGGTGTAGAAAAGTATCAATGTAGCCTCAAATGGGTCTAGGCTCTATCACTGATTGTATTTAAGGCTTTTTCACAGTTCCACAATTACGGGAGACATCGACAAAATACTACTTGATTACTCATTATTGTGTATAAACTACAGTACTTCCTATCACAACTTATACTTCAAGAATAATATTCAAGTTAGATCAAAACGGGGGTTAATTGCTAAATTTGAAGCCTTTATAAATACAAATAAACGTTACAAATCACCGGGCCCAGACGACTTACCTCCGGCTCTTTTTAAAGATGGTGGTGACTTTCTGACTAAGGGACTGACGACGTTGTTTACAAAGATCTGGGAACTAGAGAGTGTACCAACGTCATGGAATGAGTCGATAGTTGTCCCTATCTTTAAAAAGGGTTCACGTCGTTCCTGTAACAACTATCGGGGGATAAGTCTACTTCCGATTGCGTCCAAGCTATTGGCTTCCGTCATACTTCGTAGGTTGTTCAGAACCCGAGAAGGATTGACTCGCGAGGAGCAGGCTGGGTTTCGTTCTGGTCGAGGATGTATTGATCATATCTTCACCCTCCGCCAAGTGTTAGAACATCGCCATACTTATCAAAGGCCAACAATCGTAGTGTTTCTTGATATCAGGGCTGCCTTCGATTCGTTGGACAGAACTGTTCTCTGGGATTGTATGGTGTTTGAATGAACTAATAACTCCTTTGTACTTGTTGAATGTTTGATTTCGAATTCTAAATACAGTACATTCGTTAGTGCTTGTGTAGTACTTCTTGATTCAATTGCGTTATCCCTGAGATTCTTAGTCCATACTATAATTCAATTACTTCTAATTATCATATTGGTGTCGCGATGGGGCCTGCGATGGAACAGTTAGATATTCATTCAACCCCTGAAGCTTTTGAAGATTATTTGGAAAGGTTTGAAATCTGGAGCATGACCAAGAAAGATGATGAGGATATTAATATTGTGGCACATTTTCTTACATTCATTGGAAAAGAAGCATATGGCTTATTAAAAATTTTGGCTTCACCGGAAAAGCCCATTTCTCTTCCTTATACAACTCTCAAGGAACTACTTCTAGACTATGCTAAGTATACAAATTTCGAATGCGGTAAAGGGAGATTTCGTAAAATAATTCATGAGGATATAAAAAATTCCACTACATTACGTCGCCCGATCCCAGTGCATACTCAAGATTATGCAGATAATTCATTTGGGAATTGCGATGCAGTTGACGAGGATGGGCACAAGTTTGGTCAATGTTTGTGCTGTGGCAGGTTCCACTCTTTTAATTCATGTAAATTTCGTAATTCTAAGTGCTTTAAATGTGGTGATGTTGGACATATTCAGTCAGTTTGTAATATTACTGTTCATCTTGCTGCAACTAATATTAAGTCTTGTGATTCTGATTCTATTAAGTTGAGTATTTATAATGATCATTTATCTTTATCGACGATTTCAAAAGACAGTTTAGAGTCATATAGCAGTTCAGAGTTAAATGAAACTCAGAATCCATGCGAGGCAACAATTCCTAATCAATCAACCCATCAGATTTCTCATGTTATTGTACCAGATATGATTTTTCCTAATGATTCACATGTTTCTGATGAAATTTCTCACAAATCTGGTGAAAATATTTCGGTTGAACCTAATCATGATCGAAAACCTGATGTAGTTTTGATTGATGCTGATTTTTCTAATGATCCTTTGCTCTGCAATGACATTCTTAATAAATTTGAGGAAACCATTTCAGAAGAATCAAATCTTGATGTCATATCAAATATTACTTGTCCTCACAATGCATTTGTTTCTTGTGGGAAACTTGTTGAGTGCGAAGCACGAGTATTAAATGAGCTCGATTCTGATTACAATTCAGATAATTCCATATCAACTGTTGTTTGTCCTTATCATAAATTCACTTCCAATGTTTACTGTAGTCAAATTGAGAAAGATGTTTTAAATGAAGCCACATTATTCATAACTTGGGGATATGAAGATCCGACATTATTTCGTGGGGGAGGATAGTCTATGGTTCATATCCTAGGTAGTAGTTCCAGTATTCAACCGGCATGGTGATTGTTCACAATCCCAGAAATCAAGTGAGTCTGTTCCGATTTCAGTTGTTAATTCTAATACTAATGAGTGCATTCTAGATAATACAGAGTCTTTATCCAATACATTGTCGGACAGACACAGTATGAACTTGAAAAGAAGACGTTCAATTGATTACAGGCACTTAGACTCTAATTTAAGCTGTGGCGGATATGGTGTTTGAATGAACTAATAACTCCTTTGTACTTGTTGAATGTTTGATTTCGAATTCTAAATACAGTACATTCGTTAGTGCTTGTGTAGTACTTCTTGATTCAATTGCGTTATCCCTGAGATTCTTAGTTCATACTATAATTCAATTACTTCAAATTATCATAGATTGTCTATTGAAGAAGGGTGTGCCTGAGAAGTTTATTAACATCCTAAAAGCCCTATACACAAACACCTCAGGCAGAGTGAGGGCATACAACCACCTTTCTCCACTATTCCATTCGAGCAGTGGAGTTAGGCAGGGTTACCCAATCTCACCATTCCTCTTCAACTTTGCCATCGATGACATTCTGGAAACAGGTCTGATGGATGTAAGTAATGGCGGTGTGGATCTGTTGCCTGGAGAAAGACTTCTCGACCTTGAGTATGCGGATGATATTGTCTTACTGTGCGAGAATGTTCAAGCCATGCAATCCGCACTTAATCAGTTGGCAATGTCCGTAGGTATGGTATGTGCTTCGCACCTCCAAAGTGCAAAGTACTCCTACAAGACTGGCAGGATTCTAATCCTGTACTCACTCTGGACGGTGAGCAGATAGAAGTGGTCGAGAAGCTCGTGTATCTAGGTAGCTGCATAAGTGCTGGTGGTGGTGTGAGTGATGAGATCAATGCACGTATAGTGAAAGCCAGAGCGGCTTATGTCAATCTGGGCCATCTTTGGCGCCTTCGTGATGTTAGTCTGGCTGTAAAAGTTCGGATCTACAACGCGACGGTAAGAGAAGTTTTGCTCTATGCTTGTGAGACCTGGCCTCTCCGAGTTGAGGGTGTTAGACGGCTCTCTGTGTTCGATCATCGTTATATCCGAAGGATTGCTGGCATCCAGTGGCAACACCATGTCAGTAAATGCAGAGGTTCAGCATCGTGTGTTCGGTCACAGAGACGATAATTCTATTGGTGTCACCATCTTGAAACACCGACTTCGGTGGCTTGGACATGTTCTACGAATGTCGTCCCAGAGAATTCCTCGTCGTGCATTATCTACCGACTCTGGGACTGGTTGGAAAAAGCGGAGAGGCGGTCAGTATATGACATGGTGTCGTGGTATGAAAGAAAGCTGCAAAGGGCTAGCTTCTGTTGGTCCTTCACGACTCTCTGGTTGGGGTCCGAGAGACGGTGTAACGCAGTGGCTAGAGACGTTATCAGATATGGCTCAGAATAGAAGCCAGTGGCGATCGTGCTGTAACCTTCTTTTACTTTCTTCATAAAAAGTGGTTGTATCTTCCTTAACTGAAAGATCTCTTCTGATTGTACCTTTCCGTTTTCCCCATCATTGTTCTCTACCTCTTCTTTTTTATAATTCCCCACGTTCATTACTTTTTTCTTCTCTTCAAATTATCATTGTTTTGTGTGGCGCATATATATTTGGTGTCCCCCTGTACCAATATTTGTGTTCAAATAAATAAATAAAATAAAAAGAGAATACTAAGGAAGTTGTAACTACAAAATACTTTATGTATTATCACTACACTTATTGCCTAATTATTAAATATCCGAATTATTGTCCTCCTACTTTCCTCGTTGTAAGCTTCAGTTGGACTTACTAATCACTGTTATACGTCTTACTATCCCTTGGTTATTGCTAATCCACCTTGTGTTCCGTCGCCAGCTATTTATGGCTTGTGTGTGAACTACAATTTCCTGCTTGGTGTGTCGTGACCTGATAACACATATACTTTATTGCTCTAGTCATCTGGTTAATGAAATGCTATCAATTTATCCAACCAGGCTAGCTAAGATTACAACACGGGTGTACGAGTTCGTTTTGTTAACACTACAGTGTACTTTCTATGTGAAGCTTCACTAAAGATACCACTCAGATTAATATTGAGATCCCCTTAATAAAAATCCGACCTTTGAGGAACATTAACTCGTAAAACAAATTTATTTCCCTGTCAAATCAATTAAAGTGGTTGCACTTTAATGTTAGGCGATTAGAATTACGAAGCCCTGAACATAAGTTCTGTGCTTGTTGACAGTCACCAAGAATGCTTAGGCTCTTGAAGGGACATACTTCCCGCGTATTGTAGTCAGAGACATCAGTACTAAGAACTAAACAGCAGGAAATTTTCTGCTACTTAGTGGATATTTAGTGTATAAATAGCAGTTCAACTGTGATTGTTTATAGAACTTGTTTTTTTCTTCATGGTACTATATTGTACGAACACATGCTAATATTGCATCACAAAGTTTACTCATAGCTTAACGTTCAGAATCTGATTGTCTGTTAGATAATCAAAAATAATGATATATGTTTACGCGTTCAAGTGGTACGTTGTTGTAAGAGCCATCAGTAATTCAAGTTAGCTTATTTATTTAATCTATGTATATGTATTCAGTCATCGGTTTTTGTTTTGTTTTGTAAAAGGATCTTGTTGGAATACTTTGTGCTGAGAATTCTTGATTGCACCAAAAATATAATATTGAATAAAGCTAATAATAATAACTAGCACCTCCCCCTCTTGGTTATTTAGCTCAACCTGTACAGACTAGTTTATATCAATAACTAGATTTTCGCGTATCACGACAACCCAATCATTTTTACACGGCACTTTAACAACAAACAAGTCTTCAGATCAAAGAGCTATTAATTGCGTAACTTCTACAATCTATCATAACATTATACTGTATCTCTCTGGAACACCATTCCCAATAATCATAGTTATTGGGATATACAAAATAATTATCCAAGTGCCAATTAGCATGTGGGTTTTTGTGTATGTTTCTGTGAAACAAGGGTTCCTGTAGTGCGGGATTGTAAACTGCCAATGTTGCCTCGGTTTAATTAGTTTGATAACTGGCTAGTGTAGTATACAACTTCTGACCATCTTAAAACTTGAGCAGTAATGGCTTAGTGGTTACAGGAACCAGTTTTTAACCGCTGGATCATGGGTTTAAACATTGCTTCACTTCTGTCTAGGGAATCAGGTTACATCACTAGCCGTCATTCCTAGTGTGGCTACAAACCCCTTGTATAAATCCGTACACGCTAATTGAGTTGCACAAATAAATTTTTACGCGATAAATTAGAACTGTTGCCTATTTGGTAAACGGATTTAGACCAGCTGGTTATTATTGGCAAGTGATCTAATCAACATTTTAGGTGGCTGACATGAAATAAGTACATACGATTAATATAATGAAAATGCAGTATGATGTAAAAACTAACACCATAACATTCTTTTGATATATCAAGATTGATGATCCCCGTGGATCTTTATGCATCTGCTACAATGTCGTTGTTTTTATACATTGTTGGAGTTTCATTGTCCTTTTTATGCGTCATATATATGAATCTGACTCCAAATTCAGGATGATCGATATTAGTATATATTGTGCTAGCGAAACAGAAGTGAACTTAATAGTGTTAATTCAGTGAAATTAATCAAAGATAAAATGAAAACCTTCATATCTTGATATTTCTACTTTCATAAGCAACATATTCTAAGACGTTAAAAAGAAACAGTTTTTAAGAAAACTAACGATTTTAAAATATAACAATCATTACAAGGTTTAATATTTTTACGTAACATAAAAACATTAATTGCGTAAAGAGGTCACATAAAAGGAACAATTATTTACTTAGAAGAAAAGATGTATATAATTGAGTCAAAATACTTTTGAATTTATATTCAATGCACACAAAATAAAGGGTTTAGTTTTTTTTACAAATATGAGAACACGAATTTATCACTGTAGTAGACTGGACGACTGTTTTATCAGGCAGAAATCCATACCTACAGAAGTTTCGGATTAAAGAGAAAAGATACATATACACATTAAAGTACTGAAATTATAGGACGATGAACAGTGTTTGAAGAGATATTCTCATATCCATGAATCTTTACTACATTTTACTCGTTTTCATATTTTCCAAGTGATTAAAAGTAAACATGAATTTTAACAGCTTACCCTAGCAAATCCTTCAAACTGTAATTTAGTAATATTAACAAAAAGTAGGTTAAACTAACCACTTAAAATACAAAACATGATACCTTAACATTTATTTGGAACTATACAGACGGTTGGCATATAATCTTTCGAAAACTATGTAATGGTAAAATACTAGACTCTTAAAAATATATATATAATGGTAAATCTCCAATACAGGTATACTGTATTCATTAAAATCGAGCTCTGAATATTGACAGCTAGCTACGGTTTATAAATCCTCAACAAAAACTATGTGGGGATGCACACGTTTGACAACTTTAGTAGTTGCAGAAAGTCAACATCAGGACGCAACAACCCAAGCAACCAATAAAGGGAAAAATCGATTTTCCCCTTCGAGTCGGTTATTCAGGGGAAATGTAGATTTCCCCTCCCCTTACATAGTATATTTGGGGGAAATTTGTAGACAAGGATTTTCCTTACATGCATATATCCAAACGTTGTTGTCTGTTTAACTAGTGTTCCGACATATTTAGTGGTCACAAATAACCTACGAGATGCAAGTGAATGGCGTGCTCTCTATTTTTATGTTCATTATCACTAATACTTAGGTATGACGAAGAAACTAGTCAATATATGGATAGAATTTCCTCACAAACGACTAAGAAACAAGAACACATGTGTAATTAGGGATATAAATAAGTTAATATCTAGTTGCGTGACAAGTACTCCCTCCGACTTTCAGCGTAAACGCCGCACATTAGACTTCATCTCAGTATGTAAAGCTACCGAGTATCGACTGTTTCTTCTATATTTAGACCCCGTAATTCTTCAACAAAGTTTACCACAACCCTTGTACCATAATTTCAGGCGTTTAGCATTATCGATTTACTTGTTAGCACATCCACGATTACGTAATAGTACTACAAATTCCGTCAGAATGGGTTTACTGAACATTCTTAAGAAATATGAATGGTGTTATGAGCCTAAAATCTTAGTTTACAATGTGTATTTGTTGCAGCACCTTCCCGACGATGTTCGTGCACATGGACCTTTGGATTGTTTTTCAGCATTCCCATTCGAGTCTTATATGAGGCAAATTAAGAGATCAATGCATAGCGCGTATGTTGTAGCCA